AGCATAGAAAAATAGAGCGAAAGACGCTCTATCTGTTCATTAAAAGAGAAATGTTTTTGAAGCGCTCCTTAAGAAAATAAAGTACCTCTCTCACTACTTTTGGATTCCCTAGGTAAAACTGATATAAAAATAGTTAAAAGGCTGCTATTATTATTTTTTATATGATCTATGATTAATATGATGAGTAGTTCAGTTTAGACAAAACTTTGATGGTTTTTTCTTGAACTTTTCTGAACTACCATGACTTTCCGGCTTTCTCTTCGGGCCATGGTAGTTTCATAGGATATTAGGTTCATATGCCCCAATTGTTATTTGTATACGTGCAAGGTATAGAAATGTGAATATTAATTAAATTTAATGTAAGAAAATTAATTTCAAAGTAAATGAGAGAAGCAGATGAATCTAGAGGTCAGAGCGACCAAAAGAATACAAATTATTAATTCCCAAAAAGGAAGAACGAGAGCAGTGAAACAAAAACTTAATTTAATTTTACAGGTTGCGAACGAATAAAACGAATATACAAGACATCAATTTTCATAATGGTTTCTCTTCTAGTCGGAGTAACATATGTATCCCCCTTCTTTCTAACAACTTTAAATTGAAATTGTTCTGCTGAATGTAATCTGCCTTCATGCACAAATTGAATGTCCGGATTTAAAGCATTGAGTAACGCCCGACAAGTACCGTAAATACCAGAAGTTCCAGACAATTTTAACGAATTGAATTTATTTTTACTGATGTTGAAGGTTTTTTTTTTAACCAGCCTCGATTTGCGATTGCGCCGCGAAAAACAAATCGTTGAATTAATGGGCGTATGGATAGTAAGCGTGGTGCGTGTGGTAAAGAAAATTGTACAGGTGGACGAGTTGACGATTTAACAGAGAAAAATTACTCAGTTGACGATAAAATCCAGAATTGTGCTGATGACGACGTAATTGCGTTTCTTCTAAATAAAAAAAAAAGCAGTATCTTAGAAAGAATATAGTGACATGATATGAGTTTTAAAAAAGTAACCTTGGCTAACGTAGAATCGTAGAAAATATTTGAGTTACGTCAAAGCATAAAACATACCAGTGATGAATCGACCTAAGCCGGATCCATCTTCAAGTCGCTGGTACGTTCAGTGCTCAAGTAACACATCTTACACGCTTGTACACTATGACTTTTTGCTTCTCTTAAACGACCCAAAGCGGTTTGCAGTCAAGATTTTTCTATTGCCCAAATGAAACCACGCAGATTCTGTGCCATCATCACTGTGATTTTCATCGTCAGTATCCGAGCTTGAATCATTACTCCCGGAAGTTATCACTTCATAATCATTTTCTACATGCGGCAAATTGACACTAGCTTGTCCATTCGCATCTGCTACTACAATAAAATCATCATCTTCATAATCGTACACTTGTGTGCTCATAAATTTAAATATTTCCTCACGGTCATCAGGAGTTAATCCCATCTCTAGCGGACGATACAACTTTTGCATCATAGTGTATAAAGGCTTTTTTGCAGCGTTTGTTGAAGAAAAATAGAGGCGAGACAAAAAGTCATTCCCTTTCTCCATTCCTTGTATATTGAACGCTCCTAAATCTTCTCTCTCATCAAATTCAAACAAATGATTTCCGATTATGTGCAGGTAAGGTGTTACATTATTTCGCAAGCAAGCACTAGTAAACGTTTCAAGAAATTCGACACACGCTGTTTTGAGATTCTTTTTTCGTTTTAAAGGATCAATCTTGAGCAGGTCAAGTATTTCTCGAAAACTATCTACCAACCTAGTTACATGAACTATAGCATTTCCATCTAACAGTTCTTCGTATGGAAAATTTTGAAAAAACAAATCTTGTAAATGTCCCGAAAATCTTCCATGTAGTTTTATTAGCTGTTCTTTAGTGTCGTAAGCAAAAAAGACTCTTTTTCCAATTAATTTCCTCGAATGCTCATTTAAAATATCAACTTTATTCTGCATGCAGTATGTCAGTCATAGAAATATCATACACTCTCAATTTCATATGCAAAGTGTCCATAATATAGTCACTAAACTCAAACAAATCACCAAATAAAGGTTCACATTTATATCCTTTGCAATTAGTTTCTTTTCTTTTTAAACATAATCTTTGATCTTCTAGCGTATGTGCTTGCTTTTGAATGTCAAAATAAGAGGTGCTACCTGTTTGTTCTAACTTACTCTTATGTTGTGCACAAAATATACAAGGAAAATTGGATTGAACACCCGCAAGCCCGAACACATAAACGGCGTTCATGAAATCTCCTCCAAGTTTTAACTTAATAAAATATCTTTCTTTTTTAACCGAACGTATTTCACACTACTTAAACTGTCAAGAAAAGGTTTAGGGAGAATTTTTCGATACAACTCGCATGATTCTTTCGGAAAATCAAATAAACCGACTGGTACCAGATTTTTAAGAGACTGACAATCGCGACCACCCTCAACACAATTGACTGAAATAGCTACTATATGTTTGTTACCTATAAGCGTCCCGTCCATATTAAGTCGAAATGTTATCTGAGGTAACTGATGAAGATTTGGATTTTTGCGTTGAGCTATAAATACAGCAGTTTTTATCGCATACTCAAACTGCACATAAGCCCCGTCGATTACATTAAATATAGGAAATTTTTGATTAACCTCCTTTCTCGTTTTACGAACGTAATGAATTGAAAAAAACTTCTTATGTTTCTTGAAAAATTTATCTATCGCATCAAGTCCTTTGTCACTGATATTATGCTCATCTTTCAAATGTAAAAGTTCACGTTTAATTTTTTCGTTCTCCTCACGCCACTTCTCATTTCGACGAACAGAATCAGAAAGAGATTGCTCGGTATATGTATACGCCGCTCCTCGAGCGGTGCGATAGGATCCAAGAATGTCATTTATATCCTCATCATAAGCCTCCATACCGCCAGAAGCTCGATTTACCACTGGAATATAAAACATAAAAAACTTTCTTTTCATCAAGATGGTTAGATCACACTTAGCGATTGAAAAAGTATTCAAAATATCGGATTTCGGTGAATCCGTAACATAGTCAACATCATAGGCTGTCTTTTCAGATCTCATATAATGTGAGATAATTGTTACCATTTCTCTAACATCCATAATATTAGGAGCAGACAAAAACGAACGGCACGCTTTCCCAATAAACGATGAAGTAAAGGTTGCCTCAATCGAAGAATTATTGGCAGAATACAAAGTAACGATGTCATCTAGGCCTGGGCAGAGTACTCTTCGTACTAAGAGATATTTGTTTAAGTGAATATATTTGTCAAAAATAGTCGTATTGCTGGAGTCACAAGATGTTGTAAGGTTCACATATTCTGAAACAGCAGCAAGTGGGTGTATACAACGAAGAAAAAATGTAAAATCGTTGTGTTGACGAAGAGCATTTAGGGCTGCAACGCTGTTCTGTCCAGAGCCCTGCAGGTTGCCAATATTGCCAATATTTGGCAACCTATCACCTAACCTATAAAAAATTTCACAACCTAATCCTAACCTAACCATTGAAAAAAAAAATAGAACAACCTATAACCTAACCTAGCCTATAACTTTTGCAACCTAATCTATAGCTTTTGCAACCTAATCCTATAGGTTAGGTTAGGTTAGGATCAACCTGCAGGGCTCTGGCTCTGTCCTACACTTGCTTTTTTAATATTCACTATAGAAAGTAGCTTTAGTCGTAATTCTTGCTTTAGAGCAGGTAAATTAGTCCAGTATTTCAGTTCTGTGAACACTAACGTACAGATATCATCGCATATACGATTAAGATTCAATGGAGTGCCACTACTACGACGAACAAGACGGTGTAGATAACAACTAAGATATATAATTTGCTTTTGCCACTAAACAATTATTTTCATAAGCAAACGATACTCTTTCGGGTTCGAGAGAACCAGTAGATATTCCAATAGTATTCAGAACAGAAATACTGTTAAGAGCTGCATAGGCAGTTTTTGGTGTCGATAAGT